GGTCTGGTACATTATGAAGCAGTGGACGTTGCTGTGCACCAGACCTGTCTTCCCTTCTCGTCAACCTGCAAAATCACTGTAGTCCTCAGGACTAAGATAACTATGCTAGAGATGTTTAAGTGCTTCTAGCTGAGTTAAACCCTCTCAGACTAATTCCCTATTAACTTCCCAGTCCTCTTCCAGAATCAGTGTCAAGCTGGGTCGGAATTTAACATGTCTTTGTCATTACTCTCTGGTTAGTGTCTGGCCTTGACTTCCCCCTCCTCTTCCCGTCCGGAGGTTCGTTTCACAATGAAGCTGAGAAATACACTGAAATCAAGAAGCTGTCACATCTCCAAGTGGAAAAACATGCAGGGTGTCTCGAGTATCTGCCTTACTTTTTGTATTCTTTCCTAATAGTCTTAGAGCGAGCTCAGGAATACACATCACAACCAGATTCCTGACATTGCTTCTGCAACAGATGATGCAAATTGAGAACGCAGTCCGGTAATGGCAGTGATAGCAAAGCCATACTTCTTACAAGAGCCCGAGAGGGATCCTGCTGTGCTGTCCTCTGTCAAGTGAAAATGGATGTTTGGGCTTAACCACTTCAGCCTCGGTTCAGTTACAGGAAAGCTCTGTGGGTTCAGCCTGAGGGAGGAGAAGCATTTTATCTGTATTATGAGCACACTTGGGATCCCCTTTGTTAAACACTCCACATGCCACCTCACGGCCACCAGATTCCCACCCTTCCCAACCCGGCATCTGATTTTGTCTGCAGTTTGGGGCTGGCACGGGACCAGCCTTGCCCCGTTCACAACTCAGAGTTACAGGCCAATCAAAGGCCTTGTCAAAATCATAAAATTACTAAGCATTGAGAATATCTGAAACTTGATCTTAAGTATTGTCAGGGACAAAGGGGATTGCTTCAGTTTTTTAATTAGTTCAGAAGTTCGAAGAACTGGCTGTATTGAAAAAAAAAACTGTTAAAAAAAAAAAAAGCTGACGGCAGGTTATTCATTACATTCCGGATGAATAAACTCTCCCAGGGAGGAATTGGAAGGGCCTTTCTGGGAGCCTTTATTTCAGGCATCCCAGGAAGACCACGCAGCTTAATGGGGGGAGGTCGGCCCCTCTGTGGTCCTTGACAAAGCAGTGGGCTTCCTGTTCCTTGTCATCCTGGAGCCTCTTTCCCTCCTGCTTCCTGACCTAATTTTTCTTCATGGCATCCACCTATGCCCTGGGAGTATCTGTCTTGCACACCTGACCCACCGTCTCACGGGGGTTTTCTGTGCTTGGTCACGTGTGTCTGGTTGACAGACCAAGTCTCTAAGCCCCTGAATTGTTCTGTGCCACTGAGTGGGACTTTGGAAATGCAAATAAGTTTATTCAGCCTCCTGCATTTGAGGTTACAGAGATTCCAGCTAAGCTCCAGGGCCAGATTCCCTAAAGCAAGCAGCCCGCAGCAGCGGGAGCTGCCCGTGTCCAGACTCTGCTGCCTCCTGAGGGTGTCTGGGGCCCCGTGGTACTTAGGGCACTGGACTGGTCCGCGGCAGTTATTCGGGTGATGGAAATGGTTACGGCTGCTGCCTTGGAAACCCCTTCTTATACCCAGAGTGAACATGGTTTGGTCAGTGAAGGATCTGTTGCAGTTAGGTTCCTGACCCCATCTTATATATTTGCTCATTGTCTGTCTCCCCGCTAGAGTGTAAGTTCTATGAAGGCAGAGACTTGTTTTATTCTCTACTCTATCCTACAGTGCCTGGCAGATAGTAGGTGCTCAATAAACTTTCCTTGGTTAAATTAAGTGATTGACACTGAATTGCAAACTGTCAGTGATGGCTGGTGGATAAAATGACAAGAGACGTCAGTCATTGCCCAGAAATTCTAGAAAGGGGTATCTGAGCTTGTCACATCCTGAGACTTGGCCAGGCATTCCCTTTGGAATGAGAGATCTGGACCTTCAATTAGACGTACCTGCTGCTGGGAAGTACGTGTCGTAGGGTCACATCAGTTGGCCAGTTCTGGAAGGAGGTCTGCTTGGCAGGCACCAGACAGCGGAGGCCAGTGCAGGCAAGACTGGTGTGAAGCCCCAGGTGCAGAGAGTGCCGTGAGGGGGTCCCAGCACAGGCAGTACTGAGGTGGCCGAGCGGGAGGAGCAGCATCAGGACCTCTGTCGGTGGCCCCCTCCACCCCACCTCCGCCTCCTCCACCAGACTCAAGCTTAGGACGTCTGTGCAGGTCCGGGGCTGCCAGAAACTGCCCAGGCATAATGGTCCATCCACAGCAGAATCCGCCCACCCCGCCATGTTTCCTGACGGAGCTAAGCCACAGTTTCAGAGCCCAGCCAGGCAGGCTGAGGGGAGGAGCAGGATTATCAGGATGGTGGCCTGGAGAGATGAGAAAGCACAGAGACCCTGCTTTTCTCCAGCCGAATGGCCTTTGGCAAGTTAGTTAATGTTTCACCTGCAAGATGGGGAGGATGCACCTTTATCATGGTGGTATTTTAAAGATTAAATGAGGTAATATATGCAAGCTTTTAGGACAATGTCTAACAAATGATAAGAACTTGATACGTGATTATTATCGTCTAAGTTATTTTCTGTTACACTTATGAGACCGAAAAAAGGAATATACAAGAGAGCAAAATATTGGGGAAAACAGAATGGATGCTGTTTAACAGGTTAACAGTACGCTTTCTGCCTCACAGAAGACCCACACTGGTGCAGCGCTTCACTTAGAGTTGTTTTTGTTTCACATTATCAGGAAGATCTAATTGTACATAATCACACAGGGAAGACTCTTGCTTGTCCTCTTGGGAAGCAGAAGCTAGTTGGAAAGCTTTGTGAACCTTGTGCGAATTGGCTCCATCCTCTCACCAGCCCTGGGGACGTCCACCTGTTGGCCGGGTTCGGTCTGTCTTGCCCTCACTGAACAGGTGCTCTCTGAGGGCCCCTGAGAAGCATGTAATAGATATGATAAAGGCAGGACACATGCCGCATTTGGAGTGTCTCCACTTCTCCACGGAGGCAGAGAGGCTTTTCATGACAATTAATTATTCACATTTTCTCTCCTTCCCCTCAAATACTTGGTTTCCTGTCTTAGCTCCACGGAGGCAGGTTTTCTCTGGGGCGTGTGTAACCCTCGCAGCCGATGATGGTTTGGAGCCGTGTTGTGCCCCTTTGAGCCTGTTGATTTCAAGGTCGCGTGCGGTGGGCACGTGCTGGCGATGACTAATGCCGCTGCTCATTCCCCGGCCCTTCTCTGGGCCGGATTTAAATCTCCTTGGTTCACACAGTGCAAAGGAAGTTCTGGGGTTGGGTCTCCATCTTCCTTGATCTCTTGATGGGGCCGCATCCTGAGCTGCCCAGGCCAGCGGTGCTTGGCTGAATCCCTTTCAGCCCCACTCCCTGCCCTGAGGCAGAGTCAGGCAGCTTGCCTTTTGCAAAGCTGTAAACATTCACTCCTCTGTGCAGGCTTCAACATGGCCTTTGTTACTCCTCCCTGGGAAACCTTTGTGCGGGGAACAGAGGCGGCCCCAATGCTGAGCACCCTGACAGCTCTGTCTCTGAGACTCAGAAGCTGCCTTACTCTGGGCCTCTTCACACCTGCCTGCCTTCCCCGTGCCAACTTTTGCTTGTCTGTCACTGTCGCACACACCTGCAGAGCTGGCCCGATTCACTTCTGCTTGAAGGCAGTGCTCAGATACAGAGACCTGGGCACATGCCGTCAGGGAGGCGGCTTCTAGATATTCTTCCTCAGAGACCCAGGGCCAGCAGAAGGAGTTGTAAATGGGTGTCTATGTCACGAAGCTCTGGACTGCTGGCTGAGAAGCCAGCCAATCAGAAGCAGACAGGAGAGCAGGAGAGAGATAGGAAGGAGCAGCTACATGGCCAGGAGTGGCTGGAGAGTGACAGCTGCTCCTCAGGCTATGAAACTAGTCCTTCTCTGCAGAACCATGGAGGATGGTGCACACAGACCTCAGATGCTGCAGAGCCAAGTGCTTGCGTGCGTCCTCTGTGCCTCTGGCAGGGTACCTCTCCTCTTTGTGCCTTGACTTCCTACTCCCTAAAATGAGGGCAAGAGTAGCACCCTCCCCCTCCTGGGGTTGTTGTGAGGATCACATGAGTTCATGCGTGTGGAACGCGGAGAAAGTGCTGGTCCACACTCAGTGCCATCTGTGTGTCAGCGACAACGTGGCACCATGTCCGTGGTCATGTGCTCGTCCTGAGTGTGGGGTCAGGTGCTTAAAGGGACCTGCCTGATTGCTCTGACTTCTATTCCTTAATGCTCTTTCCCCTCCTAGAAATCATCTGTAATTTTCTCAAGTGCATTTCTTCATCCCCAGATTATCCCAAGCCTTTCTCCTCCTTTCCATTTATAGTGAGCATTCATCACTGTTCAGCGAAATCTCATATCTCCACTGGTGGGCGAACAGGGCACCATGGAAAAGTGCACTTTGCACTGTCCCAGTTGTGGTATCTTCTCCTACTTCTGCTGGAACTCCTTACTGGCAGGAAATGTACTCAGTTTGTGTTCTCACTGCTTCTGCTTCAACGGCACTGCTGCTGACGGTGATACTAATGTTCATTGTCTTTCTGTTGGTTAGTCAAAGTCAAAGGGTGGGGAAACACACTTCAGCCATTGTAGGAGGAATTACAAAGCCACACAGGCAGAGAGCAAGGAGATGGGGTAGAATAAAGAACCAGGGCTGGTGATGCAGTCTCCCACACTGCCAAGCCCTGCCATCTCTCACCTAGACTCCACTCATTTTTTAACTTCTTACTTTGCCAGTATCCAACCCCCGCCTTGACCTGATCCTGACATCCCTTTGTTAAAACTTTCCATTGCCCCTCTCACTACCCAGCTGAGCTGAAGCCCTGTGCAACTTGGCTCTGATCCGTTCTCCCTACTGCGTCTGTTGCCATCTTTCAGAATTACTCACCACCCTCTTCCAAACGTGCTTGTTTTTCGCACAGTTTTGTGCCTTCAGACACAGTCTTCCCTCTTCCTGCAGTGATCAACCTCACATCTGAGGTTGTTGTAAGGGAGATGTCGTTGACTCTTCAAGACTCAGCTCACCTGGAACTTCTGGAAAGCCTTCTCAGAAGCCCTGTGGAGAAAACATTGCTCCTTCTTTCGTGGTGTGGTAATAAATTGAAATTCCGTCATGCTCGTATTTAACTGATACACGTCCAGGAATATATGCTCAGCCAGAGAGAGGGGGAGAGTTTAAATAATTCCACCCACCATTCTACTCTGTGACTGTGGGAGTACTAAGACTTGGCTTTGCTGTTGCCTTAGACATCCTTCGGTTCTAGAAGCCACTCCAGCTCCCAAAAGCCTCTTGTAGCATGAAAGGCACCGCCTAGTGAGTGGGGGTCTGGTGTTTAAGGATACAAGACTCTTCTTTTATAACATAGCCATGCAGCAAGCCTGTTATTTCATCAGGTGTTCAACCAACGGAAGGTCTGGCTGGCTGTGTTACCTTGTTGCAAGTCAGGACCTTGTAGTCCTATGTGGGAAATTCCAGGGACTTTCAGTGGTAACATTGTGTATAGTTAATGTTTGTGTCATGGTGACTTTAGAATCTAGCCTCCACCTAAGATGCTACCCTATCATATTTCCTATAGACTTATATCAGTTCGAATTTTCATCTTTTATGTCGGTGTTTCCCAGCTAAATCATGAAGCTCTCATCTGTGACTTATGGTTCTTTAGAGAGCTGCTGCCTGTGGCTGGGGGTCATGCATTGGACAGCTCTAAGGGAGCATTATTCATGCCAGAGCCTACATAAATAGACTCCCATGGTAGTCATGACGCCAGCTTCCTTGTCTCCCAGTGCCTGGTGCATAGATTGCTCAAGAAGTGTGAGAACAAATGAGTGACCGAGAAAGAAGGCAATGGCAAACTGAGCTCCCTGTTCCCAGGTGAGATATCTAACAGTCAGGGTGGGATGAAAATTCAGACAGGTTTTGTCCCAGCAAAATTAAGATCATGTTATCACAGGCGCCTCTGATGAAATGCTCTGTAAGCCCACCTGGAATATCTGTTTACCTACCAAAAAAAATCACCTTTCATCCCACAAACCGATCAGGGTGATTGATGGTTTCTAAAAGCACACCCGCTTCTCAGACGTTACCGACGGCATGATCACCCTAACCCTAAAACTCTAGTGGATGTTGTGAGAGATGTGTGTGGACACAGGTCTAGATTCTAGATGAATCTTGCCCTCTAAGTCACAGTAGACTTAAAGATTCCTCGATTTCCCTTGGATGGTCATACAACTTAATTAAATACAAAAAGAGCCATCATGAACAAGAACAAGCCTTTCATCAGGTTCTCTGATAAAATATGCTGAATATTTCTGTAGTAGAAATATGCCCCAGTGTGGCCGGCAAACTGTCCACCCCTTGGAACAGGTTGCTGAGGTAAACAGTTAAATTCACACTTGGAATTTGATGTTCTGCCAGAGGACATAGGGAGGGGAACTGACCCATTCAGGGAATGTGGGCTTCTGGGCGGACATGGTCCAAGAAGAGGCCCCCAAGGCAGCACGATGTAGGCAGTGACGGTCACACTGTGCATCACCCCACCTCCAACCACAGTTCCGGGAAGCTCTGACAGCAACAACACTGTGCTTGTCCCTCGGCCCCGACCCCAAGTTGTTCTCGCCTGTGTCTCTAGCAGCAAGACGATCACCAGCCGACCACCCCACCATGGAGACACAGTTGGCAGGATGCCTCACTAGCCAGGGCTCAATGTATCAATTAGAGTAAGTGGTGAAGAAAGGATTCCATCAATGTTAAATGAATGAACAAACTGATGAATAAACCAGTGAGATAAGCAAACCAAAGGTGTGCAGTGGCGTACCGAATGTTTGTGGGGAAAGGCACTGCAGGAAATTCTAAATGGTGTACACGTAATGCTACAGGACCTTCCCTGATGGCCCTGCTATCTCTTCCAAATCCGCGCAGGCCTGACTTTGTGCTGGAGTGTGTGGAATATGCGCTCCACCTGAAGTGCTGCGCCAAGGCTGCGCTACCGCCCCCCAGCGTGGGGGCCCGCGTGAGTAATAGCGCTTGAATTTGGGGCCGCCAGGTGCTGCGGCAGTGTTGTTTGCATGTGAACTTGGAATCGGAAACTAAGGGTCATGGAGTCAGTTCAGGTAGAATTTAGCTTCTCTTCCTGCTCAGGCCTTGGCGTGTCATCACAGGACACCTTAATGAAATAGTCACCATTTGTTTTTTGGGTTTTGTTTTGTGCTCTTAGGCGAGCTCTCCGTGGAGGAAGCGCAGGACCCTTTCCTGGTGAGCATCCACATAATCGCAGACCCAGGGCAGTCGCAGCCCCTGCAGGAGGCCATCGACAAGGTCTTGGCTTGGATCCACCCGGACCTGCGGCTGTTCAGGGTCTCCGAGAGGAGGGCGCCCCGGCGGCGGAGGAAGGCCCCGAAGGCGGCGCAGCCGGCGCTGGCGGTGGTGCTGTTCCTGCAGGAGGAGTACGGCGAGGAGCAGATCCTGCAGCTGCACCGCATGCTGCAGCGGCCGCCCTGGCGCCACCACCACACGGAGCGCGTGCCCGGCCGGTTCCTGCCCTACCTGCCCTGCAGCCAGGACTTCTTCACGCTGGCGCCCGGGACGCCGCTGTGGGCCATCCGGCCGGTGCACTACGGCAGGGAGATCGTGCGCTTCACCATCTACTGTCGCCATGACAACTACGCCGACATCCTCAAGTTCTACGAGCTCATCCTCAGGCGGAGTCCCAGCCAGAGGAAAACGGACTTCTGCATCTTCCCCGTTTTCTCCAATCTGGATGTGGACATCCAGTTCTCTCTGAAAAGACTGCCCTGTGACCAGGCCCCGGTCCCCACCGACTCCTCCGTGCTGGAGTTCCGAGTCAAGGACATCGGCGAGCTGGTGCCTCTCTTGCCCAACCCCTGCAGCCCCATCAGTGAGGGCCGCTGGCAGACGGAGGACCACGATGGGAACAAGATCCTTCTGCAGGTACCTTGGGGAAGTCTGTCTGTCTGTCTGTGTCTATCTCCCTCTTGGGAGAACTGGGAAACAAGTGGATTGGTTCGGGCAGAAACTCTAGTTAGTACCTGTTACAGAACAATGAGTTAAGAAAAAGGAGGGACCAGTGACCCTCTGGCTCTTAGACCACGTCAAGTTGTCTATACTCTAATTACACAATTTTCACTTTGCTGCCCCGGCCATGTGCCACAGGCCAGCCACAGCCAGTTGCTCTAGTGCCTCCTCACCCCGTTTCAGTGTCCACTAAATGCTTCTGGCTCCTGGGGGTTTCAGTGAGCAGACATCCCAGGAAATTTGTTATTAAAGACTCTTTAATCTGCTTCCTTACAAGTAGGGAGTTCTTTCCCAACAAATTCTTCACTTCCACAAAGGAATTTCAGGAAAAACAATCTATGACAATTGTAAAATAGTGACATTCAGCAGGGAAGATACCTGTTTTCTTCTTCCCTCAAGTGCCTCCCCTGCTTTCTACCCTTCCACCCTTTTGCTGCTGGGCAGTAAGTTGTTAAAATTCGGTGATCCCTTGAAAATGACTTTCTCATAAGCATTTTAAGGAGTATGTGATGGCTTTGGAGCTTCTGGTTTCATGAAGCTTAGGGAGGGGTGTGTGAATACGTATAAGGAAATGGATGCAGTAGACTGTTCTGTTGTTTCCGTGGTTCAAGTCTTGGCTCAGTTACTGGACCCCTTTCTCCCCTCATCCTTCCAGTGATTGTCTAAAACTCTTTAGGGGTCATTAATTCAATTCTAGAATTCAAAATTCAGCATACAGATTTAAGAACATCCCATACCTGCCGTACCTGATTAATGCTTTCCAGACTCAGGTTTTCTAGAATTAACAGGTAAATCAGTTTCAGGACTTTGTGTTTCTGAAATGTCTCTGCCTCTGGCATTTCAGTTTTCATGTATGGACACCCGAGAAGAGAAAGTTGATAGCAAGTTAGGGGATGTTGTCTGGAAAGGCACTGATTGTATTTACTTAAATCACAGGTAACATTTCTTAGTTTTTGTTGGTTTTGGCGTTGAACATCAGTTATGTAATCCACATATCGCAAAATGAAGTGAGAATTTGGCTCCTGTCAGATAACTGGTTAAAACAACAGGCAGGCCGCATTACTCAAGTCAGAAGGGTGACCTTGAGATATTTACAACTTGTAGGAACTAGATAGTTTTCAGATTTCCCTTTGAACTATGCAAATAAGAAACTAATATTGCTGTATTATTCGGTGAATTAAATGCTAGCTAGCATTTGTTTTATAATCCCTTTTGAAATGTGAGAACATTTTTCCTCTGGGTTAAAAGCTGCCAGTTCTTTATGCAAACATAATGCAGTTGCATATGTAAAAATTAGTGAAAGAAATTTGTTCATACTGAAAAGCCAAAATGAATGTGATTGTTTCTGAGGGACTTCTTTTTTACAGTATTTAGAATACTTTCTTCTCTTGATCCCTATAATACCATATATGAAAGAATAAAGGAGGAAAGCTTGGCCTGAACTCTGCTCAGAGGAACCACTGCAAGACAACTTCAAAGAAGAGCCACACATTTAAGTGGCTGTAAAATCCATGTAGGTGCAGGCCTCTGAAGTTAGAGCATCCAATGCGAAAAGAGTAAGAAAGAAGATGTGTATCCTGGGTCTCAGGAATTTGGGCCTTTGTTCAAAATAGTAATACGTCTAAGAGTTAAATCACTGTGAGCAGACAGGACTGACAGTCCCCCTCATAATCCTTGATCATGGCCGTTTGAACAGGTTACTGTTACTGCTTCACTGCAGAAAGCAGCCTTCTCTAGCAGGAGATGCACACCTGCCCACCTCTCCCAGTTACTTCTAAAAGTTAAAATTTGTGTTTCAGTCTTTAGCAAAATTAAGGTATTTCGGCCATGGCCGGAGGGACACAGCTGAGAGAGCGCCTTTTTACTCACATTCTCCTCAGCAGTATGTTGGCCAAGTTTCATTTTCAACTGTACTTTTTAAAATAAATGCTTTGGTTCAGTTGCATGAGGTTAGACATTGAAGAAAACCTTGGTAGGGTAGTTTCTAGCTGCTTTCTTTAAAAGTAGGTTGCATTTCATTTCCTCGTCCTGCCCCATTGACTTAACGTTCCCGTATTTCAGAGACCTCCTCCACCCATGTGTTTCCTCTCGAGGAGAAGAGCTGAGAGATCTGTTTCTGGGAGATACTCAGCCTCTTATAAGAAACGTTTTTAACTAAGATCTGATAAGATGGAAAGAAAGCCTCCTTCCTCCTGAAACTTACCTCTCCTCCTTTCCTGGCATTGCCTGATTCTGGGGGAAAAGGTGGCGGGGACGTTGAGGGCAGGGGTTTGCCAACATCAGAAGTTGCCCCGATCCCTCTGGAAAATCCATCTTAGGAATTTGCCTTAATGATAGATAAGAGGGAACTACAGCTTTCTGGAGCCAAGACCTGTGTTGTATGAACTAGAACTAAACTAACATTGTCCTTTGAACGTAATAGTTTCTCTTTACTTGTTATTGAAGAATAACAGAAATGATTTATATGAGGAAAAGTGTGCATCATATACACTCAATGAATTTTCACAAACTAAACATTTGCACAAGCAACACCAAGATAAAGAAACAGAACAGAGACAGAAACAGAAGGGAAGGCCTCTCTTCCCCTGCTCCTGGGACTCCCTTTCCTTAAATGAACATATTAATTACTCTGCTGCACAACAGAGGGGAGGATGTACCCAGTCAAAGAAGTTGGGGATAAGGCTGTTATCTATTTTGTGTATTTATAAGTAGATTCCCACGTTAAAAAAAAAAAAACTTAAGTTGGCTGAAAAAGATATAGATCATACTAGAAGATTAATAAAAATAATTAGTGAAAGGACATGAAGTAGAGGAAAAATGATAGGAAAGTAAGATAAACCAAGTGTCACATCCAAAATACATGCCGTTTCCTACATGCTGTCCCAAGCTGCGCTGTTTAATTGGTAGCTGCGTGTGGCCATTTAAATTTAAAGTTGAAGTTAATTAAAATGAAAAGTTCAGTTCCCCAGTCTCACTAGACACATGCCAAGTACTCAGCAGCCACATGTGGCTGATGGCTACCATATTGGGCAGCACACGTACAGAAAATTTCCATCATCACAGAAAGTTCTGTTGGACGGCATCCTTCCAGAAATAGGCCCCAAATTTGATCTTGAGTTCTGTAGCAGCAAAAACAGAACAGAAAATCAGCAGTGATATGATTTAGAGTCCACGAGGGAAAAATAGACTATGCTTTAGATGCACAACTATTCCTAGTTCCGAGTGCTGGGAGCAGTGTTGCCCCCACCTTCTTGCATCCATAGTGATGTCAGCTGTCCACCCTCAAGTGTGCCTCTAGATTAACTGCACCGAGGCCTCCCAAGGCTTTCTTACACAGCGCCTGCAGTGTGGGCAGGGCGTCCAGCCAAGTGTAGTGCAGCAAAATGAGGTGGTCCCTGCCTGCAGCTCTCGCGGGCTTGACTTAGTCCCAGAGGGAGGGATACATTTTCCGATTATCTCCCCAAATTTGTTTCTCTCAGCCAGAGATTTTGTAGACTATGATTGCCAGTAAGCTTGGCTTGGTTATTCCTGGCCGAGTTCCTGGAGCACACCTTTTACACGTAGCTAGTACAGGATGGAGCCCTATGTCCTGAGACTCAGCCCAGCTGAGGTATATGGTGACATCTCAGGGAGTTCGGAGGAGCCTGACAAGGACACAGGCCTGAACGGTAGGCCACCACCTCCCTTGGGGGCCTACCACGGGAGTGCCATGGGCAGGGCCAACTCTTTAAGAATCAATTTGAGTTTCCACCCAAAGACACAGACAGAAGAAGCACAGATGAGGACCCAAAGGGCAATTTCACAAAGAGAATGTGGCTGCAGTATGAGGCTGGGAAATGTTGAAAGCAGGTCACACCATGTCTTCGAAGTAGCAAGGTAATTGAAAATGGCGTCTAAGCCTTTGGAAGACTTCTTCCATGGTGGTTGGTCACCTGCTGTTCTTTGCATCCTCATAAGGCCAAAGAGAGAATTGGCTTAAACAAAAGGTTTTAAGTAGTACGTATGTATATATTTTTTTACTGAAGTACAGTCAGTTACAGTGCATCAATTTCTGATGTACAGCACAATGTCCCAGTATGTATATACATACATACATAGGTTTGTTTTCATATTCTTACTCATTAAGGGTTATTACAAGGTACTGAATATAGCTCCCTGTGCTATACAGAACAAATCTGGATTTTTTAATCTATTTTTGTATTAAGTGGCTCTCCCAAATTTATCCCTTCCCACACCCTTTCCACCAGCAACCATAAGATTGTTTACTATGTCTGCAAATCTGTTTCTGTTTTTTAGATGAGTTCATTAGTGTCCTTTTCTTCTTTTTTTTAGATTCCGCATATGAGTGATATCATATGGTATTTTTCTGTTTCTGGTTTGCTTCACTTAGGATGACATTCTCTAGGTCCATCCATGTTGCTGCAAATGACATCATTTTATTCTTTTTATGGCTGAGTAGTATTCCATTGTATAGCTATACCACAGCTTCTTTATCCAGTCATCCGTCGATGGACATTGAAGTTGTTTCCATGTCTTGGCTATTGTATATAGTGCTGCTATGGACATTGGGGTGCATGTGTCTTTTTGCATGAGAGTTCCTTCTGGATATATGCCCTGGAGTGGGATTGCTGGATCATATGCTTAGTCTATTTTTAGTCTTTTGAGGAATCTCCATACCATTTTCCATAACGGCTGCACCAGACTACATTCCCACCAACTGTGTAGGAGGGTTCCCTTTTCTCCACAGCCTCTCCAGCATTTATCATTTGTGGACTTTTGAATGATGGACATTCTGAGTGGTGTGAGATGATACCCATTGTAGTTTTGACTTGTGTTTCTCTGATAATTAGCGATACTGAGCATTTTTTCATGTGACTGTTGGCCATTTGTCTTCATTGGAGAATTGCTTGTTTAGG